CCCCACGAGGATGCTGCTGCGGTCGGGATTGTTGCTGACGCCAGCAGACAGAGCTGGAGAGCGGTATGCCAAAGCTGCATGATGAGTCAAATAGTCAAAGAATAGAAACTAAAAGACAAAAAAGCAAGTAGTGCAGTCGAGATGACAGAACAATGCAATGTTCTGATGCAACTGCGGAGTCTTGAAGAATCGCGGAAGCGCTAAACAGCGGACCTCCAGATAAGCGCCGGGACTGCCTGATAGTAAGAGTTGGGGCATCGGCGTCCACCTGCTCCGCGCAAGCCCTAATTATTTCCCGGATTCCTGCAGTTCTGGCTGTCGGCCAAACACCTCATTCTCCCCTCGGCCAGCTACCTGCTGTCAACGTCCCTGCAGCGTCGCTGTGACATCGTCGATCGCCTCGATTATCACTCCGGTAGTGCTCGAGAATGTCGTTCCCTACAGATACCTAATTACGGGAACCTTTTTGCGCTGGTAAATCGATCGACCTGAACCTGTCCGACTCCTCGCCTCCGCTGCCCCGACAGGTAGCCACCGTCATTACCTGCCTTTCCATCAGATTTCTACATCATCCTACACTCGATATCGATACTATAAGGTCATAAATATTTGGGAATAAGGTGTGCTGGTATGTAAACATCCTGTTTGCCGCTATTCAAACAGGCCGGTCGTTGCGGAGTGGCCATTCTGCAGGGATTGCCGCTACGTCTTGTCTGCCTTTGGTTTGCTCTCATCTTGGTACCTTGGACACACTCACTAACCTTTCACTATGCATCAGGTGCTAGATTTGGCGAAAACGCAACACATCCTTCTCGCGTCTCAAAACATAGTCGGATCTCTCTCCTTTCCGTTCCTCATCCCAACTGCTACTACCGCATACTCCGCATACTTCGCATACTTCTCCAAGTCTCGAAGCACTTTACATCAGATTTATTTGAATACCTGGATCTGGATATTTACTCCAGATCACTTGCAATCTGCCAAAGTAAGTGGCAAACGCCGAGTGTTGGCATGCCTCGCGCTGTGTCCCTCGAGTCGACGCTCTCAACTAGGGCTTCAACACAAATCTTTCATTCCTCTGACCCAACGACTAACTTAGATATAGTGGCGAAAAGAGATTCTGTCCCCCACGACATGATGTCTCTAAACACTGTTTTTAATAGAACTCCTGTACGTGTCTTACCATCCCTCTTTTTTCCCATCTCTAACCGTTCTCCAGAAAACGAATTCTCGACGTAGCTCTTCTCATCACTCACGTAAATCAACAAGAGAGCCAGAGTCGACCAAGATTAAGATGGCTCAGACCTCTTACTCTCTACCTCCGACCCCTATCGCCTCTTCTTTCGAAGAATCGGCGTCCTCGACGAAGCGTCGTAAATCCCAACGTCCAGTTGATCTCAAGGACTCCCAGCCAGAAAAGAGCACCAAGACTCCGGTGCAAAAGAAAGACGATGTTCCTGATTCAGAGTCTAAAAGTGACGCCAAAAGTAGCAACCGTCATCGGAAGTCAGGCAAGCCAAATGGTCACGCTGCTGATGCAGCTGACTCGCAAGGCCATCAACTGACGACTCCTACCACTTCCAATTCTAAGCGCAAGGCGCAAGCTCCGCCGTCTAAGCCAAATTTGCGCATCTCTTTCAAAGATCCTCGGATAAAACGCAAGTCTCTGGCTACCGAGACCGAGCTGGCCAACGCATCCGGAAAGTCGTCGACCATGAGTCCTGCAACAACGCAGAACGATCGCAAGGGAAGAAAGTCCATGCCTCCGAAGCTCAACGGTGTGAGCGACGAGAAAGACACTGTCCATCCTAATTCCTCTGTCAAAGCCTCCGCTTCTCGCCCTTCTACTCCGGCTCGCATCGATCGTAAAGCCAAGCCAACATCTCAAGCCAGCGCCAAGGCGACCAAGTCTGCCAACAAGGTGGCTCCAGCTACACCAGCCAAACCTGCTACCCCCATTGCCCCCAAGTCTGAAAAAGCTGAAATAGCCGACTCGGCAACTCCCGCCGCCCAGGCTAACACAATTTCACGCGACTCTACTGCCAGATCCCGTCGTGATCGCAAGTCCAAGACCGGGACCGATCGCAGCCTTGCAGATCATATTCAAGAGACGTCGACCAAGCACAATCATAACCCTCCTGTCCAAATCCACGAGACTCCATCTCAGCCCTCTTCTGTCCCAGATCCGACCCTTGAAGCCGCTCAACCTCTTTCTCACAAGATAAACACTCGAAGCTCGCGAGCCAAAACCGCCGCTAAACTTCTGGCTGTCGATAAGCCTCTGGACTCCCCAGCGACCCTGATGGTTCTTGAGACCACCCCGTACAATGGGGAGGTCGCCGATAGCGTCGAGGGGACGCCTGTGCAAGCCTACCGTGATAACTTCCATTTCGAATATGGCCCCGAGATGTATGGTAACCGCTTCGGACTCGACGCCCAGGTGGATGGCCCGTGCTCACCGACGAGTTTATCCACTGGCACGTCCGTTGCTGCGAGGACCTCGAGTCGCATTCGGAAGCCCACCATCAAGGCTCTGGAGTCCCTGGAGTCGGAGCGACAGTTCCGCCGCTCCAGGGCTCCATCCAGCAAACCCGAGTCGACGGCGGGTCTGGGGCAGAAGAAGGGAGGTGCGGCCCAGCCTGAGCATGAGGTTCCGGCATCCGCGCAGGCGGCTGCCGCTCAGCAGCCTGACACGGCATTTATTGCCAGACGGCTGCTTGAGCTGGCGGTGACGGCTGTGTCTACAGACCCTGCGCTGGATGCCGGACTTGATGCCAGGCTGGAGAGCCTGCGCAGAGAGTTCGAAGTGGAGCAGCGGGGCCAAGATGGAGAGGGGGCGGGGTCGGAGGGAGAAAGTAGGCCAACCTCGAGCCTGGCATTCGGTATGGACAAGACGAAAGTATCGGAGCCGTGGACTGACGAGGATGGTTGGACGCATACAGGTCTTCTCAACAAGTTTGGAGAGGAGTACGTCTTTGTCTCTTCCGACTTTGAGTGGGTTCATCCCACCAACACCTACGGGGATGACCAGCTCCCCCAGCCGCCAGGGCGATTCAGATCGCGTGAACAGGTGGAGAAGGACCGGATCTTCGGGTACCCGCCGCGGCTGGGGGAGCGTAATCTCCCGCAGCAAACAAATCTCCCCTTTCGACTGGAGGACGTTGACGAGGAAAAGGCTAAGGTCAAGGCACGAGAGGGCGCCCGGCTGAGGGGCATCCCGGTTGATCGGACGATGTCGGCCGCCGAGATTGAGGCCTTGATCGCCCAGTATGACAATGCTGGGCAGAGTGAGCCCGCGAAGGAGCAGAAGCCTGCCAGTGGATCGCGCAAGAGAAGGCGCACGGAGCCCGTCAATGATACCCCTGACTCAACTCTGGGTACCAAGAGGCGGCGACAGAATCAGAGTGTTCCCAGCCCCGCTGCTGCCACCGCCACTGCCGAGAAGCCAAGTCTCACCGTGAAGTTCAAGTTCTCCAACCCCGAGAAAGCGACGGCGGTGGCAAGGCTTTTTGGAGCAATGCCATCCAGCCCACCGAAGAAACGCCTTCTCGCCGAAGTGGAGAATTACGGTGAGGCCGGTTCCCCTAAGAGACGCAAGCCAACGTCAGAGACAGCCAGCCCCGCCGAGCAGACCCTGACACCGAATGGTCGTCCGCGGCGCCGTGCGGCAACGGCTCTTATGGCCGATTTTCAATCTCATGCCGAGGAAAGGGCGCGTCGGGCCGCTCGAAAGAAGGCTGCCACTCCTTCGAAACAGGGAGGCGGGAATCCTGCGGGTGAGCCCATGAAAAGCGTATGATTCGGCTACCTGCTAGTGTCTCTTCACATGCATTCTATCTTGCCTTCTTCAAACCTCACTCTACTTCGAATTACACTTACTTCAATGGTCTCTGCCTTTCCTCGATCGCCTTCCCTCGATTGCCTTCCTCATCACGCCTCCAGTGGATTCAACCCCGCCTCACGTCACTTTGGCATCTCAAGACTTGACTATTTGTTGAGTTGATACCGCTTGGCCTATGTTTTCCTAGGTCGTTACCTCACTTCACCTGGGATGAAGTCGACCTCGTGCATTTTATTTGAAGTCGATCTACCAGCCATTACATGTCCATCATCTAATTCCTTTTTACTATTATTATCCTCTTCCCTCATCCGCAATGACGGCTGCACATTCAATCAGTCTGGGTTGAGTTTCGAATCTTCGGCTGCATCTATCTGCCTCTGGGCTGGTCATCCAGCAGAGTTATAAACAATCGGCGCGAGCAGACTATTGACTTTTATCGGCCTTCATCTTAATCCTATCCCATTTCTCCGAGGATCAAGACAATGCCGTCGAATTCTCTTCTGCTATGATGGCAAGGAGGCAATATCATCTTTACCTGATCTAATCACACTGTTGTCGCATGGCGTTACGGATTGAGTACATGCATCAAAGCATAGCGAAACATCCGGCGGACTCTGGGCTCTTCTGTTTCATTTGGCGTTTATGATAATTTCATCGTCGGTCTTGTTGTTTCATCAAAGTTTGTCAAGGTGATTGGGCCGAGCTGGACGCTGCGGACCTCCCTAGACATTTCTATCATGTTCAAGTCATCAACAGGTACTGACACGCTGCGTGTAAGGTGCCGTTGATGGCGACTGTATGTATCACTTCTTCTACCTGTACGATCTGGGGGGTTTCGAGGCATATCGGATCCGGCGTAAGCAACGGGTCATGGATGCATAAAGCAATTGATATTAGCGGCTTTTTGACTTAAGAAATGTGCCTTTGCGTTAACAGAATTACGATATCGATCAGACGGATTGGATTGTGTGATTGTAGGCAAAGAACCCCTGGTATCGTAGAAATGATTGCTAGATGCCTTAGGCATCAAGGCACCCAGGCAAACTTTTCCGCCAACCGCACACCTCATCTCGGCCCTCGACCTTGTAACAATTCAGTTCCCTGCATCAACTTCACCTTGTTCTACTTCGTAGTATAAACCAACCAGAAAAGTAAAACAATGACAAACTCTACACCTCCACCCCACCCCTCCACCTCAAAACCCAGAGTCATCGTCGACCCGCAAACCCTCTCGCAGCGACGAACGACCCGCCCCCGGACCCAAGCCCAGATCACAGATATCCGGCAGACGAAGCAGTACAAAGTCGCCGCTAGACGGTATGTCCGCTTTTCTTTATTTCTGGTACTAAATTGATGACGATGATAGGTGGTTATCGACTATTGTGGCGCTGCCGATATTTCTGTACACGTCGTGGGTGTTGTATGACCGGAGTATGTGCGCTGTCCTTGTGTGCGAATGAAATTGTGCTGATGTTTGTAGCGTATGGGAATAGTAAACCGAAGCGGTTGGGGAGACCGTCTACGGAGGAGAAGGAGAAGGAGAAGGAATAGAATATGTTTTGTTACTAGTGATGTATATTAGTGTTGACATTTAAATTCTGTCACTTAATGGTATCGGCTCAGCTATCAGATGTACCAAATCCAAACCAAACTGCAGAGGAGCCAAACTATTCAGAATCGTCCATCTCGACACCGCAGATCCCTAGTATCAACGAGGCCATCGAGCGGCTGTCTTCCAGGTGACCGACAAAGGCAACGTAGCTTCCTCCTAGCTCTTCAGTTTCAGTTCCGTTCGCGGTTTTGACCTCGTGGATGGCAACGGGGCAGTCTGCACGAAGCTCCTCATCCTCTCGGTCTCCCTCTTCATCATCTTCGTCACCGACCTCCTCACTATCACCCAGATATCCCTCTTCCTCCTCCTCCCCATCCCCCACTCCCTCAGTCTCACTCTGAATCTCATCCCACTCTCCAACAACCGTATCCGGCGTCTCAATCCACGGCCTCCGATGCCAAAGCGTCCACCGATTCATCCTCTCCCCCTCCCCAAACTCAACCTCTCCATCTTCGCAGCTCACCAACACTTTCTCCTGTCGCGGTACACCCCTCAGAAACACCCCCCGGATATGGAACCACCGGCGGTACGTCCTCGCCGCTAACATCCCCGGAATGTGTGGCTGAAGCTCCATCGCTGCTCTCTGGCGTGATGTCCCTGCGATGCTCCAGTTCAGCCCGAAGTGAGCCTGCGTAAAAGCCGTAAAGGAAGTGGGATATCTGGCTGCTGCGCGGGGGAACTCGAATGCGAAGACGAGGGAGTAGGTGTTGTGTGCCGCGGGTGGGTGTTTGAGGAGGGTTGCGAGGCGCGTGGGGAGGCCTTCTATCATTCCTTCTTCGATTTCAATTCCATTTGTGTTTGAGCACGGGGTTGACATTGGGTTGTTGGTGTTTTTTTCACTGTGGCGAGGAGGGAGGACAGGAACGTACTCGTCCGCGAGCATGATCTCCCCGGTAGTGACGATAAACCCAGCAATCTCGTCTGCGTGCTCGTCAACCAGCTCGTTCAGGTCGTAGACGTTTGTGACGCAGAGGAGGCGGGCCTCGCGCTGGAGTTTGCGGATCAGAGACAGATATTTGTTCCAGGTGTTTATTCGGAGGGAGACGGTGAGCACGAGGATAGGTTTGGTGTAGTAGGTTTTGTCGGTTTCGGGGGGTGGGAGGGTTTCGATAGGAAGGTAATGGGTTATGTCGTAGATGGGCATTTTGCATGTACTGTTGTAAGGGCTAGAGTGTAGGATTGACTGGAAGTCAAGAGGAAACTGAAAGGTTGTAGAGAGTTATCAAGAAGAACATATAAAGATTGAAGTGAGAGAGAGACGAGGGAACACAGCAGTTTTCATGGTAAAGTGAAGTGAATGACAACTGAAATCACTAGAGCAACGATCTATTAAAACTATGACAGAACAATGGCGACTGTCAACTAAAGCACTCTCGCCAGTTCCCTCCAGATCTGGCCCAACTCAATCCCTCGACAAAGTCACTCAGCTTGCATCTCCCCAGCTTGTCAACAGCGCAGCCATGCAGTGGCACGACCCGATCATTGATCAAAGCGCGAACAAGAGGCTCCTTTTCTGACTTGCATTGCATCGTCTCGAAGTAGGCTCGCGCGGCAAAAGGTACCGCCCAGGACGCAGAATACCCGTCCGACTCCTTGGTGCTTTCCACCGAGGTCAGCGACAGGGGCTCGGTGCCATTGTACAGGCCCATGGCAAAGAAGATGGGAATCATGCCGTTGTCGTGCGAAAAGTCGACGTAAATGGTGGCGTTCAATGGGAAGGTGGCCGGGTTGGAGTCTAGAGTCGAGTTGGTGCTCGTGTGGTCCTGCACGGGCGAACGGGTCAACCGGGCAATCAGCTCGTTGGTGAATCCTATTCCCTGAGCCGGTCCCAGAGGGTTGCCTGCGCCGTAGCCGTAGTACTTGCCCAGGGACTGCAGGTAGTCGTATTTCTTCCACTCGTTATGAGTGAAGAGTGCACAGAAGGGCGACAGCTGGCTCGCGTCGCTGGCGCGGGCTACAGTATCGAATGAACACATGTCCATCAGACTAACAACGTCATCCTCCGTCAGCTGCACGCCAGGAAGATGCTTTTCGGCGCGGGCACGGATCGCAGGTGCAAAGAGCGCCGTGAAGTTGGCCGCAACCTCATCCCCCAATTCGCTGGCCTCAAAGTTCGTGCACACACTGTGGTCCAGCGTGTTGTTGAACGTCTCACTCTCCGGGATAATCACACTAATCACAGGAGCGGCGCGGTTCGTGGCGCCAGTATCCGCCAGCTTCGCCTGCTGGAACCCCTCGATAAACTTCTCCCCAGAAGCAATGACGCGGTCCGAGCCCGAGGAGCGAATGAACGGCACCACGCTCCGCGCCAGAGCCTTGTACTTCTGGTAGAACTTGATTCCCGAGTTCACCATCTGCTGCTCCCCAAAGGGAGTGAGGACGTCCGCACCCAGCGTGTAGTTGTACGTCTTCAGAAAGGCAAACTTGCCCTTGAACGAGGTGGCATTCTTCTGGATCGCCGTCACTAGTTTCTTGTACTTCTTGCTCTTCGAGCTGGTCGGGTACCGCGCTCCATGCCGCGACAGCACCTGCACAAACGTGACCCGGCAATCCTTGGGAAGCTCACTCGACACCGACAGCTCATCTTCGAGCGAAAAGAAGGGCGAGTACTGGCCCCACAGATGAGAAGTCGCAGAAGAACACTGGTACCCGAGCTCTACCGTATCGCACGAAGCGCTGCCCGCCGAACTCGGTGCCCCAGACACTCTACTCCGTACCACAATCAGAACCATAGCCCTATCATAGCAACAAAAATAGAGCCACTCACCCAGAAAGCAGATACGCTACCGAAAGCAGGAATGTAAGAGCACCCATGATACCAACGATCAGGATTCCCCCTTCGTTGAAAGTCCTAACCCTCAATCTGAGCAGGAAATTATCCTCACCCCGCCGGACACGCCGGCCATTATATAGCTCCTTCATCTCTTTCTGCCGGACTCATATCGCGCTTCCCTTCCCCATATGAAACGGACGTCCGGACCCAGCTAGCTTGCCTATCCACCACGCCGCTAGCAAGTTAGCAAGTTAGCAGCCTCGCAGGACGAGTAGCCTGGCGTCAGTGGAGCGATTCGTAACTCTGTCGCGTGAGAGCAGGGAATGAATCCGAACCGATGACAGTAGCTCACAGAAACTTGACCGAAGGAGAGATGCAGACCGAAGTGTGGTGATGTGCGGGTGTCTGATAGGCTGCGCGGGAAACCACGTGGGTGCAACCTTTGTGGTGGTTGGAGAGTGCCTGGCAGCCTGAGACTGACGGATAGAGAAACCGAGCCGGGAGACTATGTGGGGGCCTTGGTGCCTGGAATACTCTGGAGATTAGATTGATTATGGTAGAGTATCAAGATTGACATTGGAGAGGATCGCTTAGACTCAATGAGGAAACATACTGATGAACTCTATCAATACTTGATTTAACACTGGCTATCTTCCAGGCAAAGCAATCCAGTACCTTAGTAAATCAAGAAACGACAGAACTACCTACAGAGTAATTACCAAGTCATACGAAGTAGAGACCGATTTCCGCTATAACAGCCCTATAATGCCCCGAGTCAGACCCAGCGCCCGCAATCTAATCTGCCTCTTCGAAGGCGAGTATGTTTGAATTTCCAGCACCAATCGAACACCCGCCCACCGCAACGTGTGCAACGGACAACTTCCAGAACATCGCTAATGTGCTCCCTACAGCATCATCCATGCAGACCTGCTTCTACAATCTAATTACCTTTGCTAGTGATATCGCACACATGAACCCTGCAGATGACGATTCTGGAGCTAGCATCGGAGCAATGCTTCAGAGAAATTAGGTGCGATGATCATCGAGCTGTTTGTTGACTCGTTTGGTGGCGTGCGTCATACGAGGGAAAGAGATGCAGGGAATGCAGTCAGGTCACAGATCAGCAGTGACTGCTTGAGCTAATGGAGTTGCTGTATGTAGCAACTAGCGTGTGATTGTTTGAATGAACAGTAGGAAACCTTCTAGATTGGGATAAATTGGTGGATGTGTAAAACGGACGAGATCAATCATGAGGGTAATGCACCAGTTTCTTATCCAACTCCTGCCAGCTTAAGGACGGCTTTCTGAGCTATGTACAGAGATGAGGGTCACTTGCAGCAATTTAAGTCAACTAGATAACAATTTGGCCTCCCAGAAACCCAAAACCATTTATAGAAAGTGCTCGCCGACTATATGCGCTCAGCCTTTCAGCCACAGTCAAAATGAGGATGCAAGTTTTTCTCGCGGAGACGCTCTCAATGCAAGCACGATGCTTATGTTCAAGGAAAAAGAGACAACGACAATCTTGATGGACGACACAGAGGAATAAAAAGAAAAATGAAAAGGATTATACATGAGCTAGAGGGTTACGCTTTCTGCGGACATAGGCAACAATTCAAAGAATTAGTCTGCTAGACAACCTTAGTTTGTTTAGGAACGCGTCCAGTTCTCAGACAGCTGGGGTGGTGGCTTAGCCTGTTGTTCATGAGCAGCCACTGGGTATGAGAGATTGTTGTGCCAGGTGTCTCGTCTGATAGATAGCCCAGAAGCTGCATTGGAGGCTGGCGCTTTACCAGGTGATCCTCCTGTAGCATTCATGGCACCTCTGCTCTCTGCAGCGGACCATGTTGTCTCGGCTTCCCGCTCCGGAATCGAACGGTACGCTTGAGGGGATGGTGGTCGAGCTGGAAGCTGCCCCGGCGGTACGAGTCGGGCGACATGCTCTCGGTAAAAGTCCCGCTCGGATCGATAATGATCGCGTTGCTGCATCAGCTCCCGAATCTCCAGCGCCTGTTTGTGCAGTGCCTCCTGCTGCTTCCGAATCTCGTCCTGTTGTGCCGTAATCTTTTGTTCCATCTGCATCTCGTTCCTCTTCCGATTGCGGAACCTTCTCGAGGCATCGCTGTTTGCTTTTCGCTTCTCTGCCTGGCTGGATGACCCGGACTTGAGGTCCAAAATACAGGGGATCATCCCAGGCAGAGGGGGGACATTCGCAGGTCCTGCCATGCTGGCTTGCTCGTCTCCTGCCGGCCTATCACCTCCAACCGACTGCAATCGACTAGACGGCTCTGCCGTTCCATATCTCGGGGGATTAGCGAACGATGGTGCAGATTGTGGGATGGGCATCCCAGCTATTGCTGGTGATGCTCGACCAAGCGGACCGTAGATGGACAGAGGAGTCGTGGGGCTCCCGTCTTGGGAGCTGGGAGTAGGGGTCGGATTCACGCTCGTTCCCCGACTATGGAAGGTTGGGGTGGAGTGGATGGAAACGGGGGCTGGGGCTCCGGTTTCGGACGCATGATTCGGGTTCACGGTAGCATTTTCCAACGGCAGAGGCGACCCAGAGGACAACCGATACAGTCCCGGCCGTGACTCCTGAGCCAGGGGAGACTGTATAGTACTGGGCTTCCTAGCATACGGCCCTCCAGCTCCGACAAACCGAGCTGTGGGGGAGACGGGAGAGAAAATGGGACGGTCCACCGACCCAGGCGATAGAGAACGCCGTTTAGCAGGATGTATCGACGGCGAATCAAGACGAAGCGTCGGCGATGAATGCAGTCGGACATGAGAAGCAGGTGCAGAAGATGGAGGGACGGTTGACTGATGTATCGCCAGGCTCAGGTTATCTCCCCCCAAAGGTACCAGACAAGTAGGAGCAGATTTTGCGGGGGAATTCAGAATAGAGTGCACTCCAATAGAACGAAGCTGGGCAGCTTGCAATGGGGGCTCCACTGGAGCAGAAGGGCGCCATGAGTGCGGCCGAGGACGCACGAGATCACGGACCTCGGACGAGTGGGAATCATCGTCTACACGAGGTCGCTTCTTTTCGGACAAGCTGCATGGCTCTGTGCGGAGGGAATCGTCCTTCAAGGGTTCAGAAGCCGACGGAGTGTGCGACATGTGCTCCGGTTTACTTTCGTGGGACTGCCGCTGAGAGTTGGGGCATGGCGCAGGGCCCCCCCTCTCCCGATGTATCTCGGAGAGAGGAGAGTGAGAGAGGGAGCCGGTGGGTTGGGGGATATGATAGCCAGGCAGCGACCTATATTGACAAGGCAGATGAACAGGATTTGAGTAGGAGGTAGTATTCAACACACTGATCCCTAGAGTAGCCAGGATGACGGATGAGAGTCAACTGTATAAGACGAGAGAAG